ATATTTTTTAATTATTATTAAAAAATCATTTTTTCTACTCGATTGCACCTATAGTGATCGTATGAGACATTACAGAACTGCCTCTTTGAGTTTCTGAGACTGTAAAGTCAATCTTTACAGGAGCAGATTGTACCATAATCTCTACCTCAGAGTAGCTGGCTGATTAGCAACCAAATATGTAACCTACTCTGCCACCAGGGATCCTGGTTTTAGTCCAGGGGCCACATTTTGAGAAACACTGTATTAATCAACCTATTCCAGTTACAATCATTTAGAATGGATTATTTAGTATATATGTAACATGTTTAGCTTCTAACCCAAACGTTAAGGGGTTAAATAGGTCCTAGTGATCTTGTCTTTCCTCCTTGCCCCCCTCCCCAAATCAGCTATTGAAAATAAGATGGATTACAGTTCTAATGGGAATCACATGGGGTTTCTAGAGTCAGAATCAACTCAACTGCAATGATAAATCTGAATTTTCTAGGGAAGGTGCTAGATAATACTTCTGTTATAGCATTTTTTAGTGTATTCCTTATTTCAGAGCTAGGAAAGATAAGACCTAAGAATGGGTTTATCTGATTAAAAATAACTTGTTTATAACCAATCTTATTTAATAAAATGAATCCACTACATTCAAGGGTATTAGTTCAGTGATAAAAACCATACCCCTCATGTTCAGTTCTAGCCAGTGCAACTCGTGCCGTCATCCACCTGTCAACGGAGGCTTATGATACTCAGCAGGTTCCAGTGGAGTTTCCACACTAAAACAGCCTAGGAAGAGAGGCCTGACCATTTACTTAGCCATACAAGATCACAAGAGAGTCAGAGAGCTACTAACAAGTGAAGAAATTTAAAGCTGAGAGTAATTGAGTAATAAACTGTCCATGAAGAAACTAGTTAAGTGGTAGATCCAAAATTCAAACCTCGGTTTGCATGCCATTTATACCATACTGCTCAACACATATTAATTCGGACACAGAAAGCTCCTTAGAAGAGAGGATGCCAAGACATTGTCTCATGAATTTTGGATATGTTGTTCTCATGCTTGGTGAAATAGAGGGTCAGAGAGAGAGGAAGACCCCCAAGGAGACAAACTGACACAACTGCTGGCATCAAGGGACTCAAATGTAACAATAATTGTTAGGGTGCCGCTGGACTACTAAGCAGTGTTTAGTTGTGTTGTGCATGAGGTTTTTATGAGTTGGCTCTGACTCACAGAAACCCTGCACAGGGTTTCCGAGGAGCAGCTGATGGTTTTGAACCATTGACCTTGTTGCTATCAGTTCAGTGCTAATATCAAATTCTTAGTGACAGTTTTAATTTTACCAGGAGGACATAGAAGAAGTTTCAAGTGATTTATCAAAAAGTAATAATGGAAGAGTCACTAGGATTTGAACTTTGATCTAACTCCAAAACTCATGCTGTATTTAGCCAGTGTACTAGACATCCTTATAAATGAAACTTCTGCACACATTGTCATTGTTAAGTGCCATCAAGTCAGTTCTGACCCATAGCAACCCTGTACAGGGTTTCCAAGGAACAGCTGGTGAGCTTGAACTGCCAACCTTGCAGTTCAAACGACTTTGCAGTCCGGCGCATTACCCTCACCAGGACTCCTGTGGGTTGTTAAATGCTCTCAAGTCAGTTATGACTCATAGAGACCCTATAGGTGATTTCTAAGGAGCAACTGGTGGATTTGAATCACCAGCCTTGAAGTTCAAACCAACCTTATGGCCCAGGGCTTATCCTTCAATGCCACGCCCAAACATACATGGTGGTGGTAGTGGTTATGTGCTGTGGACTTGGTTCCAACTCATAGTGACCCTGCACAGGGTTCCCAAGGCTATAAATCTTTACAGGAGCAGAAAGCCTCATCTTTCTCCCATGAAACAGCTGGTAGTTTCAAACTATTGACCTTGAGGTTCGCAGCCCAATTCGTAACCACTATGCTACCAGAGCTGCTTAGGTATTCTTACATAATTTGATACATCCTCTAACAGTAATTTATTGAGACTATTATCTCTAATCTTCATATATTTTAATGTTAACTTTATTATTACTAGTCTGAAACATTATTATCCCACATATTAAGCTTTAATTTACTCACGTCAGGCACTTTCATACAAATGGCAATTAAATCTGGCTGTCCCCACTTTTAGCTGATTCTCTAAGACATTTAATATTGTTAAATTTAATTGGGTTAGATTTAAAATTACAATCTCAAATGATGGTATACAAGAGACTTCAAAAGTTGTATTAGCTAAATGCTGAGTTTCCTATAACCTAAAGTTTCAAGAAATCTATTTTGTATTTTTACTATTATCACTGTTTATATTACTGTTGACAATGTGTTTACGAGGACCTTGAAACACTCTACCATGACCAAAGATCTTCTTCAAACTCAACATGAATTCAGGGAAAACACTCTTCTAGTGTCAAATGCCTTGTACACACATATTCTAAGTCATACCTTTCCCTCTATTCATAAACTATCATTTATCAAAAGTATCTCTATACACACTTACATTCATATTAATAACTTCCTGGTTTTCAGTAAGAATTTAGGTTCATCTTTACATGGCAGCCTATGCTGCATACTTTTTTCTGTGTATAACTTTTATTTCCCTGTATATGTTATAATCAACTTTAGAAAAACTTGGTATTTAACTTACATTAAATCTATTTAAGTTTTTAACTTTGTTCTTTGATAGTAATTTAAATGTTGTTAAGTGCCACAGAGTCAGTTCCTATTCATGGAAACCCGGTACAGGATTTCCAAGGTGAGACTGGTGGGTTTGAACAGCCCACCTCGTGGTTAGTATCCTACAGCGCCACACCAGGATCTCATAATTTTATTTAGAGTGAATATTTGCAATTAAACAAAAAAACTTCCAGGTATTAAAAAAAAAAAAAACTAAAAAAAATTTACTTGAGGAAACAACAAAAAACTAGGTACAAGAGCATTGTCTAAACTCTTTAAAATTTATCTGTGGCATTGCAGGGTAATGCACTAGGACTACAATGTCATTTAGAACAGCAAGGTTGGCAATTCAAATCCACCAGCCACTCCTAGGAAACCTTAGTCCAGGTCGCTGAGTTGGAACAGACTCAGGGCACTTAACTATCCTATGGGGTAAGTAGCTACAATAGGTTATAGGAACTGAATTTAGCAAACTGAACACTTTTTAAAGAGTTTTACAGTTGAAAATATACTGCTTATGTCATTTTCTTTTTGTTCATTAAATATGAAAAATGTAGAGAGCATGGATTTACTTATCAAATTAGTAGGTTAGAAAACAAGGGTCAATACACCTTAAATTATTAAGAGAGATTTAAGACACTATTTGACATAGAAGTATATGGAAAAATCGATGCAGGTTAAAAATCTAAACTGATTCAAAGATTTTTTTTTTCCCCTCCATCAAGCTTCATCATGAATCTAGTCATGGTTTAGAGTACGCATCATGATTTTGTATGAGTGAAGAAGGGGAAAAAAAAAAAAAAAAGTCCTCCCAGAAATAGCTTTCAATGCCTCTGTCACACATATTATACTCAACTACTATAGAAGTTATGTAACCCAACTGTCAAAGTTGTTTTTACACATCTAATTAAAAGCTTAAGCAAAAGTGGAATATATGAAAACTCAAAGTCAAACATGTTATCCTAGAGCCTCAAGTAATTTATTGGTAGTTAGGTTATCCACATTTCTAGAAATATAAATATTCTAAGTGACTGTCACTAGTGCAGATACATTTAACAAATGTAAGCTCCACAGGAAGCTACTTTATTTTGTGTGAAACAAGAATCGAGGTTCCAAACTAACCTGTGCCACTAAAAACAAAAAAGAAAACTAGAAACGAAAGCCAATCTCTGCTGGCAGAGTATTTTTCTTTCATCTTCAAAACAAACAGCTGTTGGACTTACACATACGAAATGACGCTGATTTGTTAATAAATGGAATTTCATTGGAAGTAACATATGGAATACAGTGGAAGTCTTTGCCTGTAGATAGATATATAGGATTTGGTAAAGGTGTTTTATTATAATTTATTCCAATGTAAACAGCACCAGAAAATTTTCATAAAACAGAAGGCTTTGCTTTCCATGTCCCCTCTTCATTTTCTATCACTAAATTTATCTATAGAATTGAAACACTTCTTCCTTCTAATCAGTTCTGAATTGCTCAAACAACACTGTTCAGTATGTAAACAAAAAATTAAAGCTTAGTGCACATACAGGACATTTTTTACATTGTCACTCCACAGTGCATCAGGTGTTGTTTATAAAGCTTTTGCTCCTCCCAAAACACTTCAAAAATATGATGTTAAGAACTACATCTGTGTTCAGTCAGCAAATAGAACAAATACTTTTAAAAGAATTTGAGACCATATGTCACAATTTTATCTTTTTGACTTAATTCATCAATTGCTTTCTTTATAAAGCCATATGTCTATCCAAGCATATTCATTTACATGTCCAAATTTACTATAAAAGAGTCAAGTAAATAATTTAGGTTATTCAAGTGAAAGTGTTTCTGACAGCGAACTCTTTCTACTACATACCTAGATCTCAAAAAAGGTGTTCTAAACTTGACCATGTAAAAGATGCATAGTTATTTCTAAAAAGACTATACACCAAAACATGCTTTGTCAGAAAAACAAATCCATGCACCTGAATAGGTCCCCAAATGCCTTATTTTTTTTATCATTTTAAGCTTAAACCAACTTAAACATGGTCTAGAATTAAGACATTGAATTAAATTATTTGATTCCAGAATCTGATAAAGATCATTTGGCTAAAACAAAAAAGCAAATAGCTCCTCTTCACCCCTTACATAAAAAAAAGGAAAAAAAGTATGACTGTGTGTATATTACTTAGATATATAAATCTACCTCAGTATTTTCAATAGTAGGCATTTAATCTTAACTTACAAAAAAACCTTGTATGCAAATTCCTTGCAAAGATTCCCCTCAAAAGATGTAAGCACAACACTAGGAAGACACTCTTTAAAGTTTTATTTCACTAAATTTGACCTGAAGGGTCAAATTTTCCACAACTGTTTCCAGGTCAATTTACTATCCTTGTTTGGCTTCCAAAAATGGTAGTACCAGAAGACTTGTGGGGTGGGAAGTGAAAGAGAGACCACTTTAAGAAGCCCTGCATTTACTCATCTTCCAAAAGGCAACTGAGTTGGGCATCTGATTGTTCAACAACAAAACAAAGCTTTAACAGCATCCAGGAGGGCAGGCAGGCAATCCAGGCTGTAGACACTCTTCCCATTTGTCAAAATCAAACCAAAGAAAACCTACTCCACACAGATATAAAAGGCATTACAATTCATCTTTTCTTCTTCTGTTGCCGCAACATTTTTCTTCTTTTAATTATCATATCATGTAGTTTCTCAAGTCCTTCCTTTAGTCCGTCTCCTATGATTGCACAGGTAGGCTGCAAATGCCAAGGAGTTGACGAGCTCAGTTCACCCATTGCTAACAATTTCTCAATTTCAGATAGAGACAATGAATGCCTTAGGTCTTGTTTGTTAGCAACTATAAGTACAGGGACTCCCTGGTTTTCTGATATCCTAGTTATTTTATGAAGTTCAGTTTTGGCTTCTTCCATTCTTTCAACATCAACAGAGTCAACAACAAACACAATGCCATCTGTGCATCTGGTATATGATTTCCACAGGGGCCTTAATTTCTCCTGACCACCTACATCCCAGAAGTGAAAAGTGACCGTTTTAGAATTTCCCAAGGTTACCTTAATTTTCTCTGTATTAAATCCTTTGGTAGGTACGGTGTTTACAAATTCATTGAACTGCAGTCTGTATAATACAGTTGTCTTTCCAGCACAGTCCAAACCCAGAATAACAATGTGGAAGGACTGAAATGACGGCAAGCTGGACAGTATAGAAGTCTGGTCTGACAGTCCATTCCCCATTTCCAGCTGGAAATAAGTATCCCAAATTGAAATGCTTTCTTCGTAAGCCTTTTGAACGTCTTTTCCTCGGTGACCCTGCTACAAGACCGCTGGGAGAAAGGGGGAGGGGAACAAGTTATTTTTGTGAAATAACGTACAACTTTTTTATCCCTCAATTTTTGTTAACATAAACAATAGGAGGAACGTGGTAAATAAAACTTGCTTTAGTAAACAAAAACTGATGATATATAAAACGTAAGCAATGCAAGACAAACGATACAATCATTGTGATGAAAATTCTTTAAGACTCATTGAAATTCTAATATGTACTTTTCTAGATCCCTAAACCTCAATGACCTCATTCCGGAGACAGCTCAGTCACCAGTATATGGCCTAAATTGCCGTAACCACAGAAGTACCTCTTCTGGGAGAAAACTCACCACGTATAATCCTATTTTAGGAATCTAATCCCACATGTTCAAAGTATAGCCAAGGTCACTATTACACCCTCCCGAGACCAAAAATTCTAACAAAGCTCTCACCTCCCGAACAGCAGTCTGTGTCCAAATAAGAAAGCATTGGCCCACGGGAGTTACTACGAAGGTGGAATGCAACCCATGACCGCCCGGCTTAGCTCTTCACGCAGCTCTGGCAATTGCGGCACCAGAAACCTGGGACTGCGACTCCGACCACGCCCACTTCTGGCAGCCCACCCATGATCTCAAATCCCATTGGTCACTCCCGCCAGGGTGTCCTAACAACTCCCGCCCCGGCGCCCTAATTGGTGAATTTAACTGCCGCTCCCAAAGCGTAGGAGACCTTCTCTCTTGCGGTCCACAGGCACCACCTGTTGCCCTCAAGTTAAAAAACAAGGCGCCCAGGGAGGGAACCTGGCGGCTCAGGTCGCGGCCGGTTTGCCCGCTCCGCCCTCCTGGGAGCACCTGCAGCGCGGCCGACTGCCACGCCGCGCCGCGCTTCTCACATCCGGGACCCACGGTCACTGCCGGCACGTTAACTGTTCGCTGGCCAGAGAGCACTCACTACGGCCGCGTCGGCTCCTTGATGCGACCTGCGACAGCCCTGTGACAGGCCCAGTCTTTCCACAGCTGGATCCCACGACACTCGGCCGGCTCCATTCCCTCTGCAGTTGTAGCCGCCACAACTGCCCGCCCCGCTACGACTCACCTAACCTACCGTCCTGGACTAACGCCGCTCACAGCCACTGAAGAGGTGCGCTGGTGTCTGCTCTCGGGCACCAGCGAGGCCCGGGCGATGACAGAGCCTCAGTTTCTAAGGGCGCCGAGGGGGCGCCCCGCGCCAGGCCGCCCTAACGGTGCTCGCCTCTCGCTTTCCACGCCAGCCGCGGGCCCGCCCCCTTCCCGCGCGTCATACCCGCGCGGGCCAGTGGGGGTCGCGCGCGAGCCGGGTCGCCTAGTAACGGCAAAACAAGGTCAGGTTCGAACGGACCTGCAACCGGCTGCCCGCGACGTCGGGTGGGGCTTCCGGCCTGTGCCCTGAGGCCCGGAGTTTACCAGCTAGCCTTGTCAGGCAGACCACACCCTGTAACACTTCTGTTCTGGACACTGTGGGACGCCCTCAGGGCGGCGGCCGGTGACGCAGGGCCAGGGATTCCAGCGGACACCGGACGGGCGGACCACTTAGATAACGGGGTGACGTGGACTTGCCTCTGGGGCTATCCTGAGCTCTCTGGAACCGACAGGTGTCTGGAATGCACCTTCTTTTTGTAAAGCAAGTTATTATTCTGCCTGCCATGTGGTCCTAGCAACATCCCTATGAGGTGATGACAGGTAGAGAAGTCCCAGTTTTATGTATAAAGTTTACATTGTTTCTAAGGTTTTCTGGAACGAAAATCTAGGATGATTCTAATTCTCAATGTAATTGTGTACCCTCATTCTCAAATAGCTATAGTTCTGCGTGCTTGGAAATACATTAATGAGCTAAACAGACACAGTCTCTGCCCTGGTGGAATGATAGAATCTCCAGGGAGAAAAATTAAAGTAGCAAAATTGTCACACACATAAATTTAATTACATAATGTTCGGTAATGATTGCAGGGTATTTATGACGACATAAGGATCCCTGGTAGTGCAGTGGGTGAAACACTGGCTTCGAACCCAACCGTGAGGAGGCAGTCTGCTTCCATGAAGTTTTACATCCTCTGAAACCCTGTGGGGCAGTTGTCCCCCCTACAAGGTCACTATCAGTCATAATTGACTTGACTGTGGGGGTGGGGATTTGGTGTGTTTGGTTAGGACAGCATAGCATAGATACTGGCTTGAAGTTCTGAAAACACCTTTAGTGAGCAAACAACTTTTTGTTACAGACTTGTAAGAGATTGTAACTTGGAAGAAACCAATATGCTATACCTTTTTGAAGGGGGTGGATATTTTTATTCTTTTTTAAATACATATTGAAATCTCCCTAAGAAATGTAGTGATTTTTCTCAAAAACAGTATTTCCAGTTTTCCCAAGGTGGTGCAAACAGTTATAATGTTGGACTGGAGCTGCTAGCTGATTGGTTGGCAGGTCCGGGCAATCTACTTCTGAAAAATCGATCATTGAAAACCCAATGGAGTACAATTCAACAATGACACACATGAGCTCACTACGAGTTATAATGGACAAATGGTACTGGTTTACGATCCCCAGTGGCAAAACGGTTAATCAAAGGTTGATAGTTTGAAGCACATAATTCACAATAAAACATTTAAAAAAAAATGGGGAAGTAGTTAATCTTATAGTCCAGAAACAGAGGAACGTACGACAATCAAGGGAGAAGAGCACAAGCAGAATGTGGGACCCTATCAAGAGAAGCAGTGATGCCAGAGATGGAGGCAGAGATGAGAACATGGAGAGAAAGAGAGGGACTGATTGCTGGCGGCCAGGAGGAAGGCTTGCAGAATGTGCCCTTAAGTGGTTTAAATTATTACATATATACCTGAGTATTTTAAGAAAAAAAAAAAAAAAAAAAGACCTAAAATGATTAGAGAAAAATATTGTTAACTGATAGATAGTACATGGATTATAATCATTGTAATGAAACAAAGTATATGATTTGTTGAATGTAAAACTAATGGTTTGCCCTGTAAACTTTCAATCAAATCACAATAAAAACTTAAAAAAAAAAAGATACAAAAACTGCAAAAAAAAAGGTTGATAGTTTGAATCCACTCAGTGGCTCTGATGAACAAAGACCTGGTTCTCTGCTCCTATAAAGATCATAGCCTAGAACACTCTATGGAGTACTTCTCTTTCACATGGGATCAATAAAAAAAAAAAAAAATGTCATTGAGTCATTCAACCCATATCAACCCTCCAGTTTCCAAGGAGTGGCTGATGGATTTGAACCACTGACTAGTGCCACACTATTGTTGTTGTTATGTGCCGTGGAATCGGTTCTGACTCATAGAAGCTCTGAACAGGATTTCTGAGGAGCGGCTGGTGAACTTGAACCACTGACCTTGCCGTTCAAACCGACATTGTAGTCCAGCCCATTAACCCGCAGTGCCCCAGCAGGACTCCAGTGTCACTCCAAGACCCCTATATAGGACTCCCAATCTTGACAGAATTTAAAAGACACTGTTTCTGCTTTTGTGAGTCGGTATGAGAGCAGACAGCCTCATCTTTCTCCCAAGACACAGTTGGTAGATTTGAACCACCCAGTCTTGGAAACCCTATATAGAGTTTCTGTGAGTCGGACCCAACATGACGGCACATAACAACCAACATCTTTCTGGCCTTCTCTGCTTCGAGCCAAGATCCATCTGACATCAGCAGTGATATCCCTTGTTCTATGTCCTCTTCTGAGTGCATCTTGAACTTTCGGGCAGTTCCCTGCCAACATACTGTTGTGGCTGTTTTTAAATTGTCTTTAAGATTTTACTTGCATGTGATGTGGGCTAGGCATTGGGCTGTTTACTGCAAGGTGGTCGTGATGTGCCATGGAGTCGGTTCCAACTCATAGTGAACCTGTATAACATTTCCGAGCAGTGGCTGGTGAATTTGAACTGCCAACCTTGCGGTTCAAACCAACCTTGACATTGAGTACTTATCTTACAGCGCCACACCATGACTCCAGGAAAATGTTTGTTTGTAGTTAAATGATAGAATCTCATTAACCATGTTAATCAGCAAGGTTGGCATTTCAAACCACCAGCAGCTCCTTAGAAACCTTATACAACAGGGTGGGTTAACAAATAGGGCTGCGAACCACAAGGTCAGCAGTTTGAAACTACCAGCTGTTCGGCGGGAGAAAGATGAAGCTTTCTGCTCCGGTAAAGATTTATAGCCTTGGAAACCCTGTGTAGGGTCACTATGAGTCAGAACTGACTCCACAGCGCATAACCACCACCACCACCAATGTGATGGCTGGAATCCTGGTGTGGCTCTGTGGGTTAATGAGCTGGACTGAATGGTTGCTTTGAACTGCAAGGTCAACAGTTAATGCTCACCAGCTGCTCCTCGGAAACCCTATAAGGAGTAGCTATGGGTTGGAACCAACTCCATGGCACTTAACAGCAACAACAACCAATGTGATGACTGGAACTGCAGTTCCCTTGGCAAAGCCAGAGCAAATGATTTCGAGTGGTGCTGTAGGATAAGCACTGGACCATGCTGTCAGTTTGAACTGCATGGTCCAGGGTTCAAACTCAAAAGCTACTCCTCAGAAACCCTATATAGGGTGATATCAATCAGAACTGACTTGATGGCACTGTATGCCCAAAGGCCAGAGGTTCCCTACCATTGCTATACAGGATCTCTTTATGTGTAAACCAACTTGACAGCCCTTAACATCAACAAGATTGAAGTTGTCAAAGACTTCATTTTTCTTGGATCAACCATCAACACTCATGGAAGCAGCAGTCAAAAAATCAAATGATGTATTGCATTAGGTAAATCTGCTGCACAAGACCTTTTAAAAGTGTTGAAAAGCAAAAACATGTCAGCCTGAGGACTAAGGTTAGCCTGGCACAAGTCATGGTATTTTCAATAACCTCATATGCATGTGAAAACTGGACAGTGAATAAAGAAGACCGTGAAAACTTGATGCCTTTGAGTTATGGTGTTGGAGGAAAATATTGAGAATACTATAAACTGCCAAAAGAACAAACTGATCTGTGTTGGAAGAAGTGCAGCTAGAGTGCTCCTTGGAGGCCAGGATGGCCAAAATTTGTCTCTCATACTTCGGACATGTTGTCAGGAAGGACCAGTCACTGGAGAGGGATATCATGTTTGGTAAGGTAGAGGGTCAGAGAAAAAGAGGAAAACCCCCAGCAAGATGGACTGGCAAAGTGGCAGTGTCAGTGGACTCAAACATGGCAACAATTGTGAGGTTAGCCCAGGACCAGGCAGTGTTTTGTTCTGTTGTGCATAGGGTCACTATGAGTCGGTATTGACTTGGTGGCACCTAACAACAACAACAACAACATCAACAATAACATTTTTGAGCAATAACAAACATGAAAACGGCAACAAATTACTTTTAAAAATGAAACTTTTGAAATGCATGTCTACTTTATTGCATAATATTTCTGTTGAAGCCCCATTCAGACATTTTATTTAGATGCTATGACGTAAAACCCT